AGAGGCATTTGTCACCACCGCCCAGCCAGTTTCTATCTTAGATTATAAATCATACAATAGATTTGTAACCCTTTCCCCTTGACACTCTAAACTCTGGCATGGCGTTTTTTAAAATACAACACTCTGTTTTCAGTTGGTGCTCCAGTGAGTCTGAGGCTGTGGCTGTAGTGAGATCGTCTCTTCTTATTGGGATGCTATACTCTTATCAAAGCATTTTGTTTGGTCAGCAGTTACATAATTAAATTTTAGAAACTAGAAAAAGCCCAGTCTTTGAGTGAGTGATTCTCGTCATGTAGGAGGAAGCAACATTTGGTGGAGGCCATTATGCTCCAGGACACTGGTCTGCGTGCTCTATCTAAAATCTTACAGTAGTTTGCTGTTGACGTACTTGAGATTCAGAGATGAGATACAACTTATCCAAGATCATAAGATAGCAAGCAGCAGGGTTCCTGTCAGGCTTGATTGTGTGTGTGTGTGTGTGCGCGCGCGCGTGCGCGTATGCTTTTGAAATCTGGTCTCATCTAGTCCAGACTGGCCTTAACTCATTATATAACCAACACTGGCCTTCAACACATTTTTCCTGCCTCTACCTCCCAAATTCTGAGATTATAGGCATGTGCCACCATGTTAGGCTGTTTCCAAGTCATATTTGAAAGGGAATATAAGATTTGCTTCCAAACAAACTAAGACATGGCAATGTATGGGTGAGGATGAAGCAGATAGCCATTGAGATTAGTAAAAAAAAAAAAACCTGGGACCTTGTATTCTTTTGCCTAGTCTTGTGAATGTTAAGAATTCTCTATACAAAAGGTAGCATGAACCACCTCTCCAGAGCTGAGCCATTTGCTCCAGCTCTGTATGACTTTAGATGCACCCTGCGACATACTTGCAGGAGGTCGAGTTAGCAGGGCCATCAAGGAGCTCTGCTTAGGTCCTGGGACAAAGCAGGCCATGCTGTTTTAGCTTTTCATCCCACAAGTGAGGCAGCTGTCAGAAGGAGAAAGGGATTGGAACTACGTGAGGAAACATTCTCTTTAATGAAATTTTGGACAGTGAACTTTCAAGGGTTGTTTTGGACAAAGCTAAAGGAGAACCTGGAAATGGAAGAAACCATTCACTGTTAAGAAGGCTTAAGGGTTCTTGTGACCCGTTTACACCTCTCTTATGACTCAGTAGAAGAGAAGGCAGCCATCCCCAGTGCGGAGGTTAAGGAAAGCCTAATTTTGAATGGGTCATACATCTGAATTTCATTATCTGAATGGTGCCCAAATCAGAGAGGCCTTGGCAAAAGATATCAAGCACACATAAAAGTATCAGAATTCTTTAAAATCATGGTGAAAACCAGGCCAAAGGTAAACTCTGGACACACTGAACGTCCAGTTCATTCCCACGCATGGCAGCGCAGACTGTGCACTGCAGGTGATGGTCATAGGCAGAAGCCAAAGCCACAGAGTGCACGGGCTTTGCACAGCAAGCATGCTCTCCTGGGCGGTGGACTTGAGGACTTGTGGTGGATGATATGGAACAGCATGATTCAAACCCATACAGCGATGGGGTTCACCTTAAATGTACTTGTGGATTTAGGACATGGTGGTTTCTTTTCCTCCTTCCCCTTTTAGCCCCTGGCCAGCATTCCTATCCTTTTCTCCAAGGCTCTTAGATCTCTATATCCATCTTCTCTTTTCCCCAGTTCTCCCAAATAACCCTGTTAATGGTGGCAAGAGCGGGAATGACCAAGACAGAGTGAGTGATTCCGGAGCATAAGGTAGGTATCTTCTTGAAGTCCTCTGACTCTCCCTCTCTGCTCACTCACCCTCCCTTAGTTGCCCATTCCCCGACTCCCACGAGCCCAGGTTACTTACAGGGAGGTCTCCATCCAGCAGGGTTGGGCCCTTGTTCGTTGCCATCCTTACTCTTCAGGCTGCAAAGCAGAATCCCAGATCCATCAGATGCCCACAGGCTTGCCTTCCACAGGTTCCTCCCTACCTCTCCCAGCCACCCACTAGCCAGCTGGGAGCTCAGCTGTCCTAGGTCGGAGGGTGAATGTCCCATACCAGAGGCTACTCCTTGGAGTCCCAATACCACGAGTCTCCTAGTCTGCTCAAAATGAGCTCCATAATCTGCTTAAAACTGATGTTTCTGTAAAGGGCTCAAGATAAATGAAAATGCAGGCAATTAGATAAAGATAATGAGAGGAGAGAAAATGTAGAGGATGAAGTCTGGGATTCTTAAATGAGAGTCTGAAAGAGACTAAAGGATGAGTGTTGGGAGGAGTTTAGTCTTTCCTTCACAACAAAATTCTACTTCGTTCCTGTTTCCCTCTATTGCTAGCTAGGTTAAGCCTTTTCTCAAAGAACTGTCTTCTGGGTAAGTCAACCGTCACTCTGTGCCCCTCATCTTCCACCTTCCATCTTTTCCTCAGTGGTCTTCCTGCAGATCTCTGCATCCCTTGGTAATTTCCCCAGAGGCTCTCTTTCCTAGCTCCTTGCCTTTAACACGGAGAAAGCAGCCAGGGAAAGCAGACACCTGAGGACCCCACGCTCACTGCAGCTGACAACCACCTCAGTCTCAGAAAACCCAGCTGCAGAACGCCTCCTCTACTGAAACACCTCCAGCCACTCCAGGGAATCTTGGGCAATGCCTCTCAGACCTCCCAGCTGGAGGAGGGCAAAGAGGAAGAAAAAGCTGGGCTGGCCCACTGCCATAGCTGTCTGACCCAGGGTGTTCCCTGGGCTCATCCTAACTTCTATGGTGGATGCTTAGCCAAAAAGAGGTGGCTTTCAGAATGAAGGAGTCATTTGCCAGAGCCCCAAAACAATAGTTCCAGAGTATTTCTGGCTTTCAATTGACAAAAATTGCTTTCCATAAAGAAGCCTCTGGGGTATGTGTCATTAAACTCCTAAACACAAAGTTCCATGTAATTCTGTAATTTTTGGTCCTTTTCCCAAGAAGTTTCTATGGGGCCGTATTCAAACATTTCTCTATCTTTTCTTATTTGCTAGCAAGGATGATATGGAACAGCATGATTCAAACCCATACAGCGATGGGGTTCACCTTAATGTACTAGTCTATGACTATCAAGATAAACTATCTGGAAAAAAAAAAAGACAAGATAGAACTGCAAGAGAAGAGTTGAGTTCTTAGAAATCTGGGCTCTGAGGAAATAGTTTCAACCTCTGTAAACCTTCAAAGTTAAAGAAAACATTTTGAAGCTGGTTGTGATGGCACATGCCACTAATCCCAGCCCCAAGAAGGCTAAGGCAGAATTGATCATTTGAGGGTAGCCTGAGCTAAAGAGTAAGACTGTGTCTCTAAAAGCTAGGGGCTGGGGACAGAGCTCGGTAGCAGAGTGCTTGATTGACTAGCATGTTGAAGGCCCTGGATTTTATCTTCAGCACCTAGGGAAGGAAAGACAGAGAGGGGGGCAGGGAGGGCTGACACTTAGCCTGTGTTCACCTAAGTATGGACAAGTGAAGGTGCTGACAAGTTGGTTTTTGTTTTGTTTTGTTTTGCCAGCCAATAGCACCCAGGCAGCCAAGCACTATCACTTGTGGTTCCTTTCTCAACAGGGACTCAAGCTCAAGTTTGAATTCCTGATTAAAGTTGATGGAGCACTGTGGTGCTAACCAGTGTCTCCAGACTGACTAGAAAGGGCCTCTTAATCAAAATGAACTAGAACACCGATGTTAGTTCCTATGTAGCAGATGTGCATGATGTTAGTGTGGGTAACAGGGTGGAAAGGCACTGGGTAGGGTTGGCAAAACGGCTAAGCCGTTCCAGGTGCTTGCCACTCAGCTGGACTGCTTGAGCTCAATCCCTGGGACCCACATAACTGAAGGACTCTGGCAAAATATCCTCTGACCTCCACATACATGCTGTGACATTCAAGTATGCACGCACACACACCAAATACATAAATAAATGTAATAAAAAATACGGATGTGAGAAACAGCTACAGATAGATCCTTGGTAGTAAATTTTATCCTCAGTATAATAAAACAGGGAACAAGATGCCAGAAAAGGGAGGACTGTGGGGCAATGAGCTTCCAAAACAAAGATGATAAATATAGGAAATGTTTGATACTTATTAATCTTGATCTGAGCTTTTAAGCTGTAAGACATCAGTGGAGAAGGAGGGGAGCGTGTTAAGTGGCCTCTGCTCTCACTTCAAGGTTCAGGACAAATGATCTGGGAGGCTCGAAGCTGGACACAGCCCAGGCTAAAGGGCAGTCTGCCTTCCTGGGCAGTGGCTTTGGGCCAAAGGGGATATAGGGCTCTGTGCCTAAAAGCTCTGCTGACGATGCTGGTCCTTTGGCTGCTTCCATAGAGTTCCAGAATGTGGGTGAGAGGTGAAAAGGGAAAGAGTCAGGCAAATCCTGGGGGGGGGGAAGTGGGGGAGGCAGTTCTCTTGACACTACAGGGGAATGGGGGACCATGAGCTATCTCATGTTGCTCCCCTCCTTCCACTACAGGAGAGCAGGGATCTCGGCCATTCTGTGCTCAGGTGGATCCCCAAGGCAAGCAGGGCACCCAGATACTTGCTGAGTCAGTGCTCGGCAGCAATGTTCAACTGTGAGTGTGCAGCCCCTCAGGGCTTTTCAGTTTTTGAAATCCCTCAGGAATGTGGACCCCGGTAAAGAGGGTTAGTTGAGGCGAAAGATGTGAGGCTGAGGTAGCAGGCTCCACTGAGAATTACACAAACTCTAGAAGATGAAGGTTCTCCACCTTCCTCCACCCTCTCTAATGTCTTAAGGCCCAAAGTACCAAGGCAGAAACCTACAAACACTGCCATGTACTCAAAGTAGGCTTTCCCAGGAAGAAGCTAGCCACCCACTGCCAGGCTGCTGGAGAGCACCTTGGCAGGAGTGGTCTGGACAGATTTGTAAGGAACCTCTCAGTCCAGAGCCTTGACACAGTCCTGGCGCCTTCCTCCCAGCCTGCACCTTGCCAGCCCTGAGCTCCCACGGACTCCACTCCAGATACATTCACAGATGCATGAGTTGATTTTATCTAGAAATTTATTAGACATAATTAATGTGTTAGAGTACAAATAGTCATTTAGATGTATCTGTCTTATTTTAGCTACTTAATTGTTCTCAAAAGCCCCCCAAAGTTTTCTCAAAGCACATTATCACTTTAAAAATAGAATGGCAAGAACCTGAGTCCACTTTTCAAGAATCTTCATCACATTTATGGGAAGCAGTTATTTAGTGCATATTTTTCATTTCCACTTAAATTATACACACACACATATATATACATTTACATATATATATACACACACACATACATATATGGCTTTATAAGTGTGGACACTGGCCTACCTGCTGGCCAGTGTTTCCCCACTCCACACACCTAAGCTAACCAAGCTCAAGATAGGAAGACTGAAATGGGAAGAGTGAGCATGGGCAAAGGCCACTGACTCAGCATTCCACGTCCTCTTCAGTGGCCACACTGTTCTTTCCTATCCCTCCCAGCTGTCCTGATACCTCTGATTTTTCACAGAAAATTGACATTCCTACATTCATAGACAGGAAATTTTTAAATTCTCTTATTTTGCTGAAAGTTACTGTGGCTTTAAAATTGTGTAGCTTTAAATAAAATCTGGGTAAGTCTAGATAGATTGTTTTGATTTTCATAGACTAAAACAGAGACCATCAATTAAAGTGGGGCCCAGGTAGGGGCATGTTTAGGGGAAAGGCTAGGGGCTCAGGGGTCTGGAAATGCTGCTGCAGGTCACCAGATGGCACAGGAGCCATCTTGGAAAGAATCAGAATGAATCTGTTATCAGTTTTGTTTTTTAGCATCAGCTTCCATATCTGTCATGGATTACGTAACAGGCACCAGTGACCTACTACCTACTTTCAGCTTCAGTGTCTTCAGTTGCTCGCTTGCTTACTTACAGCATTACTGACAGGCTTCTACCCAAAGATGCAAAACATAGACCATGAAGGTACTGACGCTTTTCTGAGTCTACTTCTGGACATCAGGACGCAATGCAGCAATGGCCAGGGCCAGCAGGGTAAGAGGCTCTAAGCCCAGTTCTCCTCCATCCCAGTACTGAAATCTGTGGGAATGGGGGATAATCAGTGATGGGAAGAAAGGGAGGCCAAAGCCAGAGCTAGGAGTACTGCACTCCAGCTCGGATGTGTTCCTGTGAAATCAAGGACCCATACAACTCAATTCTGGTTTCTTTGGGTCTTTATGATTTCTTTCCTTTCCATCTCTAGTCATTCAGCAAACACTATGTTTTACTATGTACTGTAAAAGATGCTCAGTAATGTTAGCTGAAGTGAAGATATTCAGAAATTCAGAAGTTATGGCAGCACTTAAAAACTGCATCAGTCTTTATGCTCCATTGTTGGCCCCTCTTCTGCTCACATTTCAGGTTGATAAGGTGCTCAAATGATTAAAAAATTAAGCACAGTAGACATCACGACAAAAACCACCTTTGTTTCACTGATTGGTTAGCTTCCAAGCCTCCGAACACCCTAGCGGGTCTTCAGTTTCAACTGAGGATATACTACAGTGATGAGGCCAGCCAGAGAGGACACAAGACCTCCAAGCCCTACGACGCCGAGATTGGACTTATAGATCCCAAGCTGGTTCAAGGGGATCAGGATGTCACAGATGTTTTTCACAGTGTCTAGGAGCAAGGGGGGATGTCGCTTTAGAGACTGGAATAGGAGTAGTAGAAAGGACTGCAGCCATTCAGTTTCTTCATTGACTACGCTGTACTCAGGAGGGTTCCGGGATGATTTCTCCCTCTTTGCTCTGTCACGTGCAACTTGTCCCATCTGCAACAAGATTTCATATAGATCCCGGACCAGACTCAGAAGGAGAAAATAGTAGTAGTGGCGAACTGCCCTCATTTGCCATTTCTCTCTGTTGATTCCAGAGGTAAGACCCACGCTCTTCACCCAGAGGACAGTGTCACAGATGTAATAAACCACGCGGTTGAGGTTGGCTAATGTCAGGCATAGGCGGGGCACGAGGTCAGTGACTTGGATGCTCTGTTCCGTCGCCTGGATGGCATGGACCACATTGCCTAGTCTGAACCCTGTAAAGAGACCCCAGAGAACCAATACTTTATTAGTACTTCCTGGGAGCAGAAGCCCAATGACAAGGATTCAGGGCACAGCAGCTGATGTCAGTTGAGGCTCAGTCTTAGCTGAGGAAAAAAAAAAAGCCTCTACATTGATCCTGCAAAGCCCAGAAGACAGTGACCTTACAGTTTATCAGCCCTATTCCAAGGAGTGCCTTAGCTTTCATTCCCAGTATATTCCTGGCAGGGTTAATCATGGGTGTGTATTAACTTTTATATCTCAGAAGGAAAAGAATACTTAACATGCCTCCAGCCCCAACATTCTTATACATTTGATTTCCCATCTGTGGTGGTTTAAATAAAAACGACACCCCCCCCCCCCATAGGCCGTTAGCCATCAGGGAGTAAAATGCTTTGATAGGATTAGAAGAATTAGGAGCTAAGGCCTTGTTGAAAGAAGTGTGTCACTATGCTGTGGACACTGAGGTTTCGGGCCTGCCTAGTCATCTCCCCTCTCCCACCCCTTATTCTTCCTTCCTTCCTCCTCCTCCTTCTCCCCCTACTCCAAGTCCCTCCCCTCCCCCAACACACACCTAGAGATCAAACCTACCTACCACCACGCTCCCTGCCTCCAGGCTCTCAGCCATCATGATTATAATGGACTAAGTCCCTGAAACTGTAAGCAAGCCCTCAGTTAAATGCTTTCCTATGTAAGAGCTGGCTTGAACATGGTGTCTCTTCACATCAATAAAACAGTGAGTAAGGCACCATCAAATGCTGCCTTTGGGAAAGCAGCATATCTGCCTACCATTCTAACCTGTCTTCCTCTGGTTAACTATAGTAAAAGCATAGAGCAATGGTGGGATCGAGTGGCTCTGGTCATCAGCAGTCATGTGGAACTCTTGGATGAATTAGCCAACCACTGTAATGTGTGTCCTTACGTAAGCATGCAATTAGTCAACTAGTGGTCATCCATGCATAGGTATTTACTGGGTATCCAGAGACAGGTTATTTGAGATAGTAACTGCCCAGAAGCAGCTACTCTAAAACATAATCTCAGAAAAGTACTTGATATGAATTTACCATGAACTAATACAGAGCAATATATAAGATGTCTATTTCAAAACTTGAGTTTTGAAATCTCATTCCAGCTCTTGACCAGTTGGCTGAATGGCACTGGATAAGTACCTTCTGGACTTTCAAGACTAGTGAAATTCTGAAGGACACCTCAGCAATGACATTCTAGAAAATTTATGACAGAATTTCTAATCTCGGCCTTCAAAGCCATCCAGAAATCTTACCCAACCCTTCCCAACCCTCTTATTGACTAATTAAGTCTTCTCTCTCTGCCAAACTAGTTTTTAATTTGACACCGATCCTTCAGTACAAGGTTTGCTTCTAAGAGCGCTGAGCTTCTGCTAGGGGAAACCTCCCTTTCAGAACACTTTGTTTTTCCAGCCATAACTTAAATCCTACCTCCTTCAAAATATTTTTCCCTCTACCGCAGCCATCATAGTTGGCACTAAATAAAATTTATAGCATGTGATTTTATCTCTCCCATAAAGTTGAGGAATGCACCTTTACCAATATGGACGATCTACATCTCTTCCTAATATATCTGCTCTTGAAACATCTGCTTTTCATCAAGCGATGGAGTCAGGTACACAATCACTATGAGAAGCACGGGATTTCCCAGGATGCTTCATACGAAAGTGCATCCATCAGTGAAAACCTCTGCCTTCACTCTTGGCCTTCCACATGAGATTACCTGGCAAACAGTCTAAGAAATGTACTCATTCAGATCCTTCACCAACCCTCAACCGAAGAGGAGGAAAAGGCATATGTCCTAGGACATGGCTATCCTGGTCTATAGAACTTAAGGACTGACACTAGACCAAAGCTCATTTTGAGCACTGCCAATACATTATGTGAACTCATGTGAACTAGCACACTGTATGCCCCAGTGGCTATGACTGTGCAGGAGGATATTATGGTATGGCACCAAATTTGAACAGAAAGACATCTGTGAATGGTTTATAGCAAGCATTCAACCTCTTCAGGGTCACTGGGCAGGGTTACTGTCAGCTTCATGGAAGACCTAGCTGGCTGGAAATGAAGACCTGGAAAGCATGCAGTAAAATCCAGGATCTGAAGCTTTTAAACTGGAAGCCACTGTCCCTTGAGAGACAGGTACTTACATTTGCGGCCAGTGCTCACACTGGACTCCAGACTCTTGAGCTTCATTACCACTGCCTCTTTGCCAGCTTTAGACTCTAACAAATATCTAAGGAACATACATGCATGTTGAGTGGCTCTGAAATGAAAAAAAAATGAGGAAAATGGTTTACAAACCAAATAAAATTTGATTCATGAAGGGAAGGAGAAACATATGATCTAAAAACAAAGAGAAGCATCATGCTGAGGCAGACTTTCTGGGAAAGTTTCTTGTGCTGAAGCTCTTACAAAAGCAACATTCTGTAATAGTCCTTGCGTTGGAGGCCAAAGGGTGAACATGCAATGGAAATGCAACACAAAGGTTAGGAAAGAGCACTCCACAATTATGCAGGACATAGCTCCCCTAAAGCTCTTTGCTGCCATAGAAAAACGGATGTACTCAAGGTGAGAAACTGCATAGATGTGTCTCTCACCTCCACAAAGGTCCACATTTGCTCTTTGTCCCTGTGAAGAATGATTTCCAGATTTCCAAAATGAACTTTTCTACCACACAGTTTAAACTTACTTACTACTTATGTGACAGGAAACAAACTCCAAAAACAAGTGAAAAGTCCAGTCTCAACCTTTACTTTTTAAAACTAAAGAACCAAATACACACCAGTATACAAATTAACAGCTCTACTGTTTGTCCTTCAAAACCAATCAGTATTTTATACAAAACTGTTCAGTACATTTAGTAAAGTGATTATCACACCCACAATGATAACAATGGCATGGTGATAAATATAACACATCAGAACCAAAGACATCCAAATGCATCTGCAGCCTACTTAATACAGTTAGGTGCTGGCCTGGGTGTGGTGGTGTACACGTTTATTTTCAGCACTCAGGATGCAGAGGAAGGCAGATCTCTGTTGAGGTCATGGCTAGCCTGGTCTACCCAGGAAATTCCAGGGCAGCCAGGGCTGAATAGTGAGACACTCTCTCAAACAAAACAAAACAACATGCCAGGCGCAGTGGTGCGCGCCTGTAATCCCAGCACTCAGGGGGTAGAGGGAAGCAGATTTCTGTGAATTCGAGGACAGCCTGTCCAGGACAGCCAAGGCTATACAGAGAAGCCCTGTCTCGGAAACAAAACAAACAAAAAATAACAACAATAAACAAACAAAAACCAGTAGGTGCTGGTCCATACTGTCTTAGAATTGCATTGGCATCCCTGTATGATATAAATATTCTTCTCAGGAAAATTGTGGCACAGAGCTGGTGGCTCATGCCTCCAACTCCAGCTCCTGGAAGGCTGACAGAAGAGGATCGTGGTGGCAGTCTGGACTACAGAGTAAGAATTTTCTCAAAGGAAACCAACAAATCCTACCCTAATATGGTGCATTTCCCACAATGATGAGCTACTTTGGGGGTAATTAAGTAAAAGGAAGGAAAAGGGAGAGTAGAAGAGAGAATTCACTTTCTGGCCAGAGGGCTCAAGCTGCTCATGTAAGCACATGTCAGATTTGGTCTAATAGGAGTGGGACTGAAAAGAAGGCATTATTTTAGGAATGCTAGTTTGTTTATTCATGGTTATACAGCTCCTTAAAAGGGTTGGGAAATAAAATGTTGCCGAATACGTATATCCTAAATTACTGTTTTATTAAAAGACAATGTAGACTACATTCTGTGCACACTAAAATTATGTTTTGACTTTTATTGAAGCATGTATCTTTTGAACCATTTTGAAAAATCTATCAAGTTAGACAAAAGGCAGCCTGGCTAAGAGGTAGGCCTTGGACTCAACTGTGTGGACTTCATCTTTTGGCTCTGCCACGTTAGTTCTTCTTAACCTCCTGCTTCAGTTTCCCTATATGCGAAACTGGGATATTAAAGAATCTCCTTCACGGGGCTGCGATGAGGGGTTTGTACAGTATTATCTCCTAGAGTCTCATCAATACGACTTTTCTATGTTTACATTAGTGGCTGAGCACTTAAACATCCGGAAGAGGGTTGTTAAATAAAACGTCTAAGGTTTCCCCCCTTTCCTTTTCTTTAAATGATCACTGAGTAACACTCAAGACAAATTTCTCTCTTTTAGAAGGATTAGTTTTAAACAATCACTGGTGATTTCAAAAGTACACCATGTACCTTGGAGGCATCGTTCAAACACTTCCTCCATTGTACATCTGACGGTTTACAGAGCTTTTTTAACACTCCGTATTTCCAAGAAGATAAAGAAGCTAAAACTGTCTTTCCGTGTGTTTCACCGGCGCTCCAAGCCACAAGTGTTCAACTCCCTTAGGTACAAAAGAAACCCAAAGGTTCTCTCAAAAGGAAATGCCTAGGGATGAGGTTGAGCGGCGGGGACTCAGTTTCCCTCTCTTTGGGGAAAGTTAGAAGATACGGACTCGTGGGCTGCGATCACCTCCTGAGGCACGGAGGTGGCTGGCACGCACAGCGGCACTGAGTTTAGGGGGAGGAGGGTCTCGACCCCCCAAGTGGCAGCTGGCCGCGTCCTCGTGCCTCGATCTACCGGCCCATTACCACCTTCTCCAAGAAGAAATACCGGGTTCTGACGGGACAGGGGCGGAGGCCGACGGCACCTGACTCACCTGAAGAGTCGGTCCCGGCCCTGGCTCTGGTTGGCGACGCGGATGAAGGCGTCCATGGCTCCCACCCACAGCCACGCGTCGCACCCGCTCCCTCGTGGGCCCCTCTGGGGAGCCGCGGGTCCCAGGGGCACTCCGGGTCAGGTTAGTCGCGGGGTGGGTGGGACCGGGTCTCCCCGCCCACACAGGGGTGGGCACACCTTCGGAAGGGCGGCTTTTTAAGAGTTCCGGTTGGGACCGGAAGTAGTAGTTACTAAGGCGACGCCAAGCCGCCAGGCGCTGGGAGCAAAGCTAAGTCTCACGGGGTGCGCTGTCTTGGTCTCCTCCCGTCTCGGTTTCCAAGTGGAGGCACCGAGAGGGTCATTCCCCTGCCTCAAACGTCCAGGTGTGCCCAGGTACCCGAACCCCATCAGGAATGCTAAATGCTCTTCTCAGGCGGAGGACCCCTAAGACCGCAGGCCTCTCATCCTTTCCCAGGGCCAGGCCTGATGCTGCAGGCAACAGAGCTAAGTCAGTTTCTGGAGGGTGTTTCTAGCAGGAGAATTGGGTAAAGTGAGAGAATTTTCTGTTAGGATTATTGAAAAACGAACGATTTCTTCCTGAGGAAATCCTAAAATGCTCAACATGAACTAAATATACCGGCAGAGACGATCACAGTGACCTTGCACTGCTGACCATTGGTTCTGTGCAACGTGAAGGTGGAGCCCCACTTCTTTTGTAATTACCGTTTTTCAGCGCCGCTGCCTGCGACCTCCCTCATGCCCTATTTCCTGTCTTTCTGCTGCTTCTCTACTCTCCCATCCCTTGTGATGTTATTTTCCAGCAATGACTGATGGCTAGCGTGGGAGTATCCTGCGCAAACACAGCCTTAGTCACCCTACCTTCTTAGGGGTCCCCCAGAAGTGCTTTGCTAAGGATGGGGTTGTTCTGGGGTCCGCTTAAATCCAACCTAAAGCCAGCATAACTCAAATGAAGATGACAAAAATGTATTGTAATCGAGCCACTACTGATTGATCAGGGCCACAGGACAGACTTGAGAGCTAAACTACGACCCTGAAGGACGTTGTACAACATATTTAAAGGATAAAACCAATGAGGGGGAGAGCAGAGTGGGCTGTAGCATTGTCCAATCATATGTTGACATAAGGGGTTTAGCAAGGGAGTTTCCATTAATAAGGATAGGAGTAGGTCCCTGGGCCTGGGAACACGAACTTGTTTGACCCTGCTAGTAAGATGCAGAAGTTGTCCTTGAGAGACCTGGACTCAGACAACTGCTTTCTACAAGTTGTCCCTAAGATGTCTGGACTCAGACAACTGTTTCCTTACAACAGAAGGAAACTATTCAACTATTGGGAAGTCCCCAGCTCCCCTAGGGCCTGGGATCTTGAACTTAGTTTCTCCCTATGATTAAATGGAGTCTGAAAACAAAATGGTAGTACTTAGAATAAGTGTCTTTTGCATGTTCCCGACCCGGTAGTATGTGAGTTCCCAGTCTTCTCTGAAAGCCTCTCTGCTCTAGCCAGCTGAGCTACACCTCACTGACCTCTGCAGGGACCTGGGCCAACTCCACTGTAAATGTACATAGTACAAGGCCCTCCCTTGTCTGGAACAAGACCTAGTGCTCTGCTCGTTACCGGGGACATCAAGGCTCTCTATTGTGAGTTAGTAAAAGAATTTAGAAACAGGCTCAAAGGGAAGCTGGAAGGCAAATTTCCTAAGCATTTGAAAGAAAAGCAACAGGGCAGATGAAGTGTAAATCTCGGCAGCTTCAGGAATAGAGAGATGAAGAAGAGGAAGAAAGAAAGCGATGCTTTTTGCAATGGAGGCTGCCAAGGAGCAGCGCGGTGAAAGAGGTTGGGACTGGAGCTTCAGAGAGCAAGTGAGAAGGTCCACCCCCCCACCCCCCGGCAGAAGCACTTGCAAGCAGCTGCTTGGAAGTGATTTTATAAGATGGCTCTCTATAGCCACGAAGTAAGGTCTCTTTTCTCTATCCCCTGCGTCAGACCTGCCCCTAACGCTTGCAGGCCTGAGGTAGAATACCACACCAGACCTACATACTCAATGTTTAGATTTTTGAAAGTTGTACAACAAGTGACATACTGTTAAGGATGTTCTATTTCCTGGGCTGACATACATTCTTACAATAACATGGAAAGCCAGGCTGACTGTAGACTTCTAAGGCTCCTTGAAATTAGCACAGCTGCAATATAATTGTGTAGGGAGCAATGACTCTCAGACCTTTCCTACTCCTCCTCTGATTTCTTGCTCCCACCTGCATTGCTGAAAGGGGCCTTACACGGAATGTGCAGTTACCCCAAGCCACATTCAAATTCTGTCCCATACCTTTGCAGACAGCTACACTGCAGGCAGTTTTCAGGTCTGTGTGTGCTCGTGTTAGTATCTGATTCTCCCTCTAGAGAAACTGGGAAAGGCTTGTGCAGATCCTGGTATCCTTTGGACAGTGATTTCCATTGACTTGAGTAGAAGAGAGAAATAAGGTTTTAGGTAAGGATATCCTCTTGGCTTCATGAATCGCTCATCCTTTACTGAAGAAAGTACCATTGAGGGGCTGGAGAGACAGCTCAGTGGTTAAGAGCCCTGGCTGCTCCTCCTTGAGGACTAGGGTTCAATTATCAGCACCCACATGGCAGCTCATAACTATCTGTAACTCTTATTCCAGGAATCTGACACTCTCACACAGACATACACACAGGCAAAACACCAATGCACAGAAAAATAAAAATAAATTTACTTTTAAGAAGTGCCATTGAGAGAATGAGAAATACTCTCTACAAGCATGGCCCAGGCGTATCCTCCTCTCACTCAGTCGTCCCCTCGCCTCCTACCAACTCCCCACCCTACTTTCATATCTTTTTTTTTTCTTCTGGGTGGTGGAAGGTTGCTTTGTGACCTTCTGAGTTTAGCCAGGGCTGCACCTGCGGGCACAGTTATATAGCATGCTAAGACTATTTTGAGTACCAGCTAAGTACAAACTCCTCACCCGCTAGGAACTCCAGTGAACTGATGAGTACAAGTTGATCTGTCTGATGACAGAGATGAACGCAGGTGCTTTTCTTTCCACTGCGGTGTGAGATTTAGATCACTTGTTTTCAAGGTATCAGATCGTGTATTTTTTTCCTCATTTCTTTCACTCACCATAATGCACTTGTGTTTCATTCATGTTGTACATATCAGCGCTTGGTAGTTTTTATAGTTATCCATTCAGCCCCTGAACTGCGCTTATGTGGTCTCTAGTTTGGGACAATTACAAATAAAATGGCTATCTTTAAGTACAGAATTTCATTTGAAATTTAAGTTTTTCTTTTTCTTGTTCAAATACATAGGAACGTGATTCCCGAATCATACAGAAGATGTTCTGTCTTCCCTGCATTCTTCTATTTTCCCACAGGGAGTGTGAGAGTTTATCTGCTTGTCTAGTAGTAAAACATCTGATTGTTTCCCCTTTGGTGCTCCTAGAAATAATGCAGTCATTGTGCATAAGGCTTGCAAGTGTTTTTATTTCCACTCCTAGAATTGGAATGACTGGACCATTATTCTACATATTTGTTTACAATTTTTATTAGTTTCTTTGCTTCAGTTCAGTTTTCCAAGACAGGGTTTCTCTGCGTAGCCCTGGTTCTCCTGGAACTCACTCTGTGGACCATGCTGGCTTTGAACTTGTATTATAGTGAGGTATGGGAGCCTCCCTTACCCGGCCCCACCAGGGGGCTGCGGCACCATCATTTGACAATTTTATACATGTATATAATACACCTTGGTCACACTCATCCTTCCACCTTCTCTTATCCTCTTCGACATCACCTCTCCTCTGCCCACCAACATCCCTCCCCTTTCAGGCCTCTTTATTTTGTTTTTGATTCTGTTCTGTGACATATAACTAGGATCATTCCTATGGGCATAGTGTGAAGCTATTCCCTGGACCACTGGTAACTTGCCAGCCTGTGGCTACATCACTGAAGACAATGACTTCCTCTCTCTCATCAGTGACTTCATCACCCTCCTGGGAGAGACAGGATGGAGCCTCATGAGACCCTTCTCCACCTATGACTTAATGTTTAAGGGCCCAGTCTTGTGCAGGCTCTATGCAGGCAACTGCAGCTGCTGGGGTTCACAACGCCACAGCCACGTCATGCTCCCAAGGCATCCTTTCACAGCATGCATTCCCACCCACATCATCTGGCCTTTGTATTCTTTCCACTCCCATCTTTGGAAAAATTTCCCTGAGCATTGGAGAGAAGCATTCCATTTAAGGCCAAGCATTTAGCAATCACTTGCTCTCAGCACCTTACCAGCCACGAATCTTTGCATTAACCACAAGCACTGCAAAGAGAAGTTTCTTTGAGCAAGGCTGAGGACAGTTCTAGTCTAGGAGTGTAAATATAAATATTTAGGAGACATTTTGACAACATATCCTCTTAAACAAAACAAAAGGAGTGGTTGTCTACTGGCACCTAGGCACAGGTCTTTAGCCAGTTCGACAGTACTCCGTTCCCTCGAGTGGGCCTCAGATCCCATCAGAAACCAGAAATGGTTATCCCCTAACAGTCACACCACTGCTGCACCAGTGAGCAAAGCGCCTGGTGACTAATGCATTTGTATTGTGGAATCCAGAGTCCAAAGCTGCCTCACATCACCCCTCAGGCCGTCCTTCCACCCCCACCGATAGCCCTGGCAGCAACTGAGCTAATCTCATTACTTGCAAATACTTCATAAGTGGACTCACTCTGTATTTAAGTTTGGATACTGGTTTCTTTCCAATATTGATATTAGTTCATGTCATATGTGACAGCAGCACCATTCCACTATGTTACCAAGTGATGCTTCATTATATGTATCCATTTATCCACTGAAGAACATTCAATTTATTTCCCATATTTGGATGTTGTAAGTGGAGCTATAAATAGTTACATACAGGTTTTGTGTGAATATAGATTTTTTTTTTTATTTCTAGGGCTTGTTGATAGAGTATGTCTATTTGTAACTGTAAAATGCACTGTCAGATTGTTTTTCTGGGTGGTACACTATTTTCTGTTCTTAACAGCAACATACAAAACATGTAAAAGCCGAGAGCGTACATGGTGAGACCACACCACAGGGCAAAGACAGACACTGGAAAATGGCATGGGTTTTGAAACCTTAAAGCCTACCCCAAGTAATACACTTCCTCCGACAAGGCCACACCTCCTAATTCTTCCCAAGCAGTTTCACCAGTTGGGAACTTAGCATTCAAATATATGAGCCTTTGTGGGCCATTCTCATTCAAACCACTGCATTCAACTCCCTGGCCACCATAGGTTTGTAGCCATATCATAATGTAAAATACATTTAGTCCAACTTCAAAATCTTCATAGTCTTTCACAGTCTCAACAGTTTAAAAGTCCAAAGTCTTCGAGACTAAAGGCAATATCTTAATTGTAACTCCCTGTAACAGCAAAAATCAACTACATATTTCCAACATACAATGGCACAAAATATACATTACTATTACAAAAGGGAGGAAAGAGACACAGGGAAGAAATATTGGACCAAAACAAGAACAGAAGCCAGCAGGGAAAACTCCAAATCTTGTAACACTATGTCTGATGTCAAAGGGCTCATCAGATTTCCAACTCCTTTTAGTTTTGTTTACTGGAACACACTTCTCTCTCTTAGACTGACTCCATGCCCTTTATGTAGCTCTCCCTGGCAGACATCCCACTGCTCCGGCGCCTCCAGCATCTTGGGTCTCCAATCCCAAGGCTTCACTTGCACAGTCTCATGCAGTGGCCTCCCCAGGCCTCCTTTAGGGACGCCCCTTCCACATGTCTGGCCATAATAGTTTTCCTTAACGGCAGAGGAAGATCCCACATCCCCTTTACTTCTGTAGCTTCTTAAATCTAAAGTCTGAACCAAGTGGCTGAGGCTTCTAAGATCTACTTCCTTCTTGGGATGAACCTGGCCCCTTCCTTGAATTACATTTACATACATTTTCCTTTGTTGGTGCTTTATTGGAACAGACAATTGCTTAGGCCTTTTCACAAGTCGCAGGATTACCTGGTTTCACCCTAAGGCACCACTCCCTTTATTCCATTTCTCTTTGTCTCTTCAAATACAAATTAAGGCTCTAACATTAAATTTCCTGATGCTCCTTTTCTCCTCAGATTGTACATTTCGTATTTTTTTTCTCTACTTGCACTTTTTCATTGTATACCTGCATATGAGTAATTACCAATTACTCATAAGATAGAGTCAACACTAGGCTGTCTTGAAATCTCCTCTGCCAATGAAATTTTCAAAAATTCTACTCTTCAATATAGCTTCAGGCAGGTTCTTCAGACAAAGGCAAAACAACAGGTACATTCTTCTATTATAAGGATGTTCTCTAGCCCAGTTGCTAATATTGTTCCCCTCTGATACCTCTTGAGCTGGGCCTCCATAGTTCATATCACTCTCAGCACTACTGTCTTCCGAGGATGATACATTAAACCTCACTTATGGCATTCGACTACTTTTCTAGTCCAAATTCCCAGTGTCTTCCACATTTCTCCCCAAACCAGGATGGTCAGGCCTGTTATAACAAACCACAACAGTGTTTTCTTATTCTTTTTTTCCATCTACTTAATCTACAATAGAGAAGAATGTATGGTTTGTCTTCTTTTTTTTTTTTTTCCTTTTGGTAGAGGACAGATCTTATTATGTAAACCAGGCTGGCCACTTACTCAAAGAGATCTCTTGCCTTTGCCTCCCTAGTTCTGGGATTAAAGGCATGTACCAGGGGCTGGAGAGATAGCTCACCAGTTAAGAGCACTTGTTGCTCTTCTAGAGGATTCAGGTTTGGTTTCCAGCACCCACATGACATCTCACAAACATCCAAAACTCCAGTTCCAGGGGAAGAGATGCCATCTTCTGCCCTCCACAAGCACCTGGCATGCATGTGGCACACACACATATGTTCAGGCAACATACACACATACACACACAAATAGGAATAAATAAATCTTTAAAGGTATGTACTTTCATGCCTAGCAATTACAACTCTTTGCTTGATAACTCTGATATCTGCAACAATTTTGAATTGGGTTCAATTCTTTAATATTTCTCTTTATTTTGGCTTATATTCCTGACTCTCCGTACACTAGAGTTGTTTTTTTTTTTTGTTTTGTTTTGTTTTGTTTTTTTGTATTTCAAACATTGTTAATTTCACATCATTAGATGCTAGGTTTTTCAATCTTCTTATTAGCATATATTGAAAATGCTGGATTTTGTGTTCTTATTTAATTTTAATTCATGATCATAAATTCAACTCTGCAATTCACCTAGGACATGGAGGAAAATAAAGATAACATGGAACTCAAAGACCTGTAGCAAGGGCCAAAAGCTCATGGGATATTGTGAGTAATGGGGGTATTGGCGGCTGGTTAAGATGCACAGGTCAAAGTATCAAAGTTCCTTAAATCCCAGCACTCAGGAGGCAGAGGCAGGTGGATCTCTGTGAGTTTAAGGCCAACCTGATCTACCTAGAAAGTTCTAGGACATCCAGGGCTACATAGTGAGACACTGTCTCAAAAAAAAAAAAAAAAAAAAAAAAAAACCAACAGTGACAACAAACTACCAGAACTGCCCACAATTGCCAGTGGTGATCCTGCTGATCTTATCTTTCTTGGACCCCAAGTACTCTATGGCTTTCATTCTTCACCTTTCCAAAAACCATGGCTTCCCATCTAAACACTCCGTTTACAGTGCAGAAGGAAAATGGAACTGTTTGTGTTTGGTTCAGCATTCACCATGGGCAAGATGCTAGGACTGTATGCTTCAGGATGAAGGTCTCATCCTCAGATATTTTCCCCCATAATGGCATTGTTCCAGTGCCATTATGGTGTGTGAAGTCACCCAAATGGGTTATCAATCATGGAATATCAATTGTGGAATAACCCTATGAAAAGAGGAGCACATATAAATCAGTCTTTCTCTTTGGTGCTCAGAGCATGAAGATTTCCTGGTGTTTTGGTACTGTCTGCAAACAAAGGAAACACAAGCTAAGGGCTGGCCATCAGCCTGGATGTTGAGGAACGCAATGGGGTTTGCCAATAGCCAACAGTAAACAGCTACAGGGGACAATGGTGTTTGCAAAGTGACACTGGATTTTTTGTTTTGTTTTGTTTTGTTTTGTATTCTTGTAAATGTTCTTAAGCTTTGTTCTGAGATGGAGTTAACTTGCATAAAGGCAGTTTTGTTTTCCATATTCTAATACATCATTCCATATGAGTGATACTGGTGCAACATTTGTTCTTGGGCTTATTTTTCCACTACCAAGTCTCGATCCTTCTGATGTTCTATCCACTGTCCCTGACTAATGAGATTATCTAGTCTGGTTAAAGAAACCACATTTTTTCCTGGCTGTGAATGAATTAGCTTACTGTCCTCACTAATGCCCTCAAGTGGTCCTGGCCTGAGCATCAGCTAGCCTTGTCCCTCCCGTACTAGAAGCATCACATATGTACTCAAGCATGGAAGGAAAGATCATGATGGCAGCTGGAGCTTTATAGGACTTGCATAGACCATAGCCACTTTATCAGTATAAGGCCACACTACCCTGAGTTTAGCATAAACTGCCTCCCAATTTCCTCATTAAATGCTTTTTGAAACTGTGACAGTGAGCTGGGTGTAGTGGCACACTCCTTCAATCCCAGCACTCAGGAGGCAGAGGCAGGTGGATCTCTCTGAGTTCAAGGCCAGCCTGGGCTATAAAGTAAGTCCAGGACAACCAAGGCTACACAGAGAAAAACAAAAACAAACAAACAAACAACCCCCCCCCCCAAACCTATGACAGTGGCTGGTGTGATGGCTCACTGGGTAAAGGCACTTGCCACCAAGCCTTCTGACCTGAGTTAAATTTCTGGGATTCACATGGTGGAACAAGAGAACTCTTGAAGGTGTTCCCTGAACCCACACATGCACTATGACACACACATGCACTATGGCATGCACACCCACAAATAAACAGAAAAATGTAATAAAAACAATGACATTTGAAATCCCTTTACACAGAATTGTACACAGCTTTAAAGCTTTTGAAATTCAAATTATTCTATCCCTTCCTATAGGCTTGTGCTTTACATATGAAGATATATAGAGGAGAGCTGCTAAGTTTTAAATACTTTAGAAATATCTAATTATTCTAATTTTGTAGGATTTTTAGTCAGTATTCTGTCCATGTCACAGACAGGAGACTCAGTGGCTTGAACAGAGCCATTTTCAAAGGCAGACAACCAGGGAAAGGTATTAGCCGTGAATGGATTCCTTTTGGAACAAAAGATGGTTACTTGTCCTATTAGGAGTTGAAGAAAGACAACAAAGTGCCACATTCTTTCATCACAGTTCATATCATCTTGGGTTAGCCTGAGAGATACCTGCCCCTCTGGTACCCTTATGAATATGAAGATCCCAGAATACAGCAGCACCCTACATAAGAAAGTCCAGGCTGAGACAGTTCCCATAGGATGCTGTGCTAGACAAGGTTAGCTTCTTGTTTATGTTTTTCCCCAAGTCTCTCTGCTCACTTTGCTTCCTAGCTTTGAGTCCCCAGAAGTTCTCAGTACCACCTGCTGTGATGTCACCCTTCAAAGGAAGTCAGGCTCAGAAGCAAAGGATGTCAAGGATGTCTGTGTTTATCAAGGGACCATTGGAGATTCCATCTCCAACAGAGACAGACTGGCCTAAGGATGATGAAAAGGATTTTGTCTTCCTGGACATTGATCGAGAACTGGATTCCCTGCCTCAGCCTTACCGAATGATCAACAAGGTGCTGAACCAACTGTTTGACCAGTCATGGGAAGTTATTGAAGAGAGAGAAGCTTTAAGAGAAATTGAGAAAAACCGGATCCTGCCTACCATCTACCCTCCAGTTACAGAAATCCAGGTACAAACAAGAGCGCCTGTTTTTCACTTGGTTATAAAAATACCTGATTCAGGGAGGGAAGGAATTCCTACTGAGCTGTCCATCAGTAATACAGATGCATTTCTGAGAGACAGTAAGCATGCTGCTATTGGTCCAAAAAGATCTGGCAGTGGGAAGTGGTGTGTTATGGTTAATTGAAGATTACACAAATGCTTTTTATGTCATGTTATTGACACTAAAAAGCTTCGTTAATATATTAGTCCCTCTCAACACTTGGCAACTGAGAACTGTCAGTGATTTAGCTGTTGTTCTTCCCACAGAACGCTAGGCTGAATAAAGCAGGAAACCTGTGGTCATGCTCATGTTCAGAATAGAGATGGGTCCAACTTCTGCTCTCTCTGGCTACCTCTCCCAAAGTGCAATGCTGAGGGCAAGCTTTTTCTACAGGCACATGTTGGGCAACGAGTTGTCTAGAAAGAGCCCTGCCCCTTTTTGAAAAGTTAGCTCAGATGGCCTGATGGCATTGACAGCTGAACATAATTAGCTTTGTCTTTCTGTGTACATGTTTTCCCAGCTCAACCAAATGCCTGGTGGTATGGCTGTTTCACAAGACTATCTGTTTATTGGAGGAGCCAAAGGATTCTCAATCTATAATCTGGAAAATTTCAAAAGAATATATGTTTGGGAGAAGTTTAAGGTGGACGTTGTCTCCATCTGGGCCACAGATTTGGGGAATGAAGTGCTTATTGTTCCTGTGGATGAAATGGGTATTTGTTCTTCTTCATTTTTAGATTAATTTATAGGTATTTAGAGACTGGTATTCAGTTTAATCTCTTTTCCAAGTATAAGGAAATTAAGGCACGGCAAGCTCTCTCTGCTCATGTAGTCATAACTACTATCTACCTGCATGAAAGTAAGGTGTGCCAAGCCTAGTGTAGCATTTTTCATATAGTAGCCCATTTGGTTTTTCACCTGTCCAAGGGAAGTACAGTTGCAGTTGATCATTGTCCTGTTTGGAAGAGACATCTTGAAGCATAAAGGTTAAATCATTTCCTTGAGGTAAATAGAAATAAGTGGCACAAGGACATTTCAAACCAGGCAGGGTAGCCCCAAAGTTCATACCCTTCCAGCCCTCAGAGCCCTGCTCCCCAGCTGTCGCTGCTCCACCCACACAGGTGTACTGATATACCCTCAGGAATGTTGAAAAAGTCAAAACCGAAGGGGAGTGGGGGGGAGAGAGAGGCAAGGGGGTACAGCTTTTTTCATTTAAGAGAGAGAAATTCTGGCTAGGCATGGTGACACACACCTGTAATCCCAGCACTCAGGGAGGCGGAGGCAGGTGGATCTCTGAGTTTAAGGGCAGCCAGGTCTACAAAGCAAGTCCAGGATAGCCAAGGCTACACAGAGAAAGCCTGTCTCAAACAAACAAACAAACAAACATACAATAAATAAAAGAGGGCTGGCAGGATTGCTTGTTGTGCAGAGGGGCTTTAGTTCAATCATGCTTTATTCAATCCCCAGGACTCACTTGGCAGAAAAAGGGAACTGACTCCTTCGACTCATCCTCTTAACTGCCCCATGCATGGGTGGCATGAGTGCCCCCCTCTAAAAATAAATATGATAACATTTTTAATTTCTCTAAACGGGGAGGGGAAGACAACAGACATAATGATGAATAGCAGCTCATATATGTAACCCAGCATTTGCAAGGCAAAAGCAAAAGGACCAGGAGTTCAAGGTCATCTTCAGCTACATCCGGATTTGGGGGCCATCCTGAATTACAGGAGAGCCTGTCTCAATTATCCTTTCTACCAAAAAGACTTAATGATAGAACATATTTTTGGTGAGGAGAACATGCTGGGCAATGTGGGTGATGATGATTCCTTTCTACATCATATACCTGGGTGCATCCTTAAGAAGAATAGTAGGGGAATGAGGTGTTCAGGGCTTGTGATTTGAAGCACATTTTAACACCCACAGGTTTGATATACCTGGAGAATATCTGTGGAGGACTTTAGGCGAAAGAAAAAGCCACATTCATTATGGTCCATTATATAAATGGTTTCATATCTGTGTTACTTTTTTTTTTTTTTTTTTGATGAATTTGAAGGTAGATTGCCTTGATGTCCCTTGTACTGTCAGTGTCATGGAATAGCTATCCCATGAATCTTTATTAAGATGGATTAGAATTTCACCCAGAGTGAGCCGAATGCTTTATGTGATCTGTCTATATCATGGGTGCAAAGGTAGGTTATAAGTAACTGGGAGGCACTTAAAGGAATGTAAGAAGTCATGGTAGGTGACAATCACGTCCTGAATTCAACAGAATTAACTGCACAGGGAACCCTAGTGGGTTAAGGCACATGGAAAGGTGAGGGAAGATCCTTTCTCTCAAAGGAGTTTATGAACCCAACACATTTATAGCCAACATTTGTACCAGTGCAAAGAAGTGGGGGATGATAGCCAGAGTAGGGGGCTAGGAATGCAGAATGGGCTGCTATGGCTGGTGTGCTTATAAGAAACTTCCAGAAAATATGGGTAACACTAGCTAAGTAGGAGAGGACTGGAAAGAGGAACAAACTGAATATTTTACAGTAGTTGGGAGACCAGGAGCAGCATAGGCCATGTGGGGGCTGCAAAGCAAGGACAGGCTGGTAAGTTTAGAGTCAGATACTACGCCCCAATCCTTCCTGGCTCCCTGGTCTCACAGTCTCTTGTTTCTCTGTTTCAGGTATTGTTAGATTTTTTTACTTGTATAAAGACAGCCTTTTTCTCATCAAAGCCATCAATGAAATGGTGAGTTCCTGTTCTCTCACCCTTAGCTGGGGGACATTGAATGGGTAATGCAAAGCACTCCTCATAAAAGACTTGTGTCTAGGATGTAAGAAGCTACAGTAAATCAAACCCATACTAAAACCAAACAGGGCTGAGATGGCTCAGTAGGGAAAGTTGCCTTGCAGCAAAGCCTGATGACCAATGGCCTGAGTCCCTTTCCTAGGACCTACATGGTGGAAGGAGAGAACAGAATTCTAAAAATTGTCCTCTGACCTCCACACTCACGCTGACACACACACACACACTTCTAAAGTTACTTCTTCTAGCACTGAAGGTTTTATTCATGTGACTTGTTTAAAATGGCATTCATACCAGTTGTCAAGTGAGGGTGGGAGAGGAGGCAGAGTGGGAAAAGGGGAAGGAATTTCCCTCTATTGGTAATAAAGCTCTAGATTTATCCAACTGGGCATTTCATAACCTCCAGAGACTCGTGTTCCTTAAAAATTGTGTACCACTTTTAAAAAACAGTCTAGCTCGCGGGATGCTGGTGCGGGCCGTCATCAGTTTCCTGCAGTGGCGTCGGCACTGTGCTTGATGTGGACTTTTTTCCAGACAGTTGTTGTGAACCACCTCCATCTTGTGGCTGGAACGTTAACCCTCTCGAACCTGCTGGTGCCACAGCCTCAATTACCTTTCATAATAACTGTCCCGATTTTTAAAAACGCCTTCCTTCTGTGAGACTTTCTGGCCCAGGTGGGAGACGGGGGCTGCCATAGAGTATAGTGTAGGAATGGCAGTGACTGACCCAGAGCTCTCACAGATGAGGAAACATAGGAGGGAGCAGGATCTCTGGAGGAAATGAACCCCATGCCAAAGGGAGACTCCAGTAAAGCTCTAAAAGTCTACAAATACCAGCTGCTATGGCAACTGAGCAGCCAGTTGATGCTTGCGAGGCAGGGTGAAGCTCTTGGAGATTCACGGTGCTCAACAAGACGAGATGAGAGTTTTGCCTGAGGGCATGTCTGATGAGGGAGTACCACCTCTCACTAAGGGATGTGTTGGGATGCCAACAGTTCCCAGAGAGCCTTAGAACCCAGCCATCAAGATGCCCAAGGCACAGCATGTATGTGTACATGTATGTGTGCATGTATGTGGATGCACATATAGATGTGCATGCCAAAAGAAGACTTTTGGTGTTTTCCTCAGTCACTTTCCACCTTATTTTTTGGCAGAGGATCTCACTAAATCTGTTGCTACTAATTTGACTATAGAGTGGCTGGGGAAACAAGCTCGGCTCTTCCTTTCTCCACCTCCCCAGCACCAGGCTGACAGGCACGTGCTGCTACACTCAACTTATCATCCCATCATTAAATTTATGCTCTGACATAATTATATCCAACTTTTTATATAAATCCTAGGGATCCAAACTCAGGTCCTCATGCCTGCATGGCAAGCACTTTGCCAACTAAGCCATCTTGGACTTTGTTTTTTTTTTTTTTTTTTTTTTGAAGTAGGGTACGGTGGTTTGAATAGGAATGCCCCCATAGACCCATGTGTGTGACTACTAGGCCCCTAGGGAGTGGCACCACTAGGAGGTGTGGCCTTGTTGGAGGAAGTGTGTCACTGTAGGGATGGGTTATGAGGTCTCCTACCCTCAAGCTACACAGAATCTCCTTCTGTTGCCTGCGGATCAAGATGTTGAACTCTCAGCACCTGCAGCACCATGTCTGCCTGCATGTCACCATGGTCACTACCATGATGATAATGGACTAAACCTCTGAAACTGTAAGCCAGGCCCAGTTAAATGTTTTCCTTTATAAGAGTCGCCTTCGTCATGATGTCTCTTCACAGCAGTGACACCCTAATTAAGACACAGGGTCTCTCTTTGTTGACATGCCAACCTTAGAACTCATGGTGTAGACTGAGCCAGCCTTGAACTTTTAGAAATCCACCTGCCTCTGCCTCCAGAGTGCTGGGATTAAAGGTTTGTACCACCATGCCTGGTGGGCTTTGTTTTGATTGTGATGTGAACATACCAATTGTGAAAGATGTTAATATCCTCTACAAGGTGATTGAAGAAACTGAAAAACAGGCTAGTTATTAGCTGTTGCTTAGGAATTAATAATTTGGGCTTAAATAAATATTCGCAATGTGTTGGGTTTTGTTGAATGATTATTAGTAATTGATGTTGATTCATATTATTAGTAATGCAGCCCACAAAAATATGATGCCAATAGGATTTGGAAGGTAATAAATACAACTAAAATTGTGATGTTACAATGCAACATCATGATGGCATAAAGAAACATTTTAATAGCGCAATGCAAATTGTCCAATGTGACAGCACAATTAAGCAACATGATGTCATTTTGGGGCAATATGGTGTCACAGTGGAGTGTATGATGTTATATCATTGTGTGACAAAATTGAACATTGCAATGGCAGAATGCAGAATTATGATGTCTAAATGCAAAATTGTGATGGCACAGTGCAGCATTCTGAAGACACAGTGTAGCACTGAGGTGGCTCAGTGAAACATTTGATGACACAATAGAGCATTATCTTGTCACAGTGCAGCACTGTGGTGGCACAGTACAGTATTATGACAGACGTGGAACATTGTGACATTATAAGGAGCATTAAGGATTTTTGGAATAGAGAATTGTGGTGTCACAGTGTGGCATTGTGATGTCACTAGGAATTATTGTGTTGACACAATTCAGCACTTTGAGGTAATAGTGCTGCACTATGATGCCACAATTGAACATTTTGATGTCATGGTGAAGTTATGTTACAGCGCAATGGAGCCTTGTACTGGCACAGTGGAGCATTTTGATGGCCACATGGGGGACTCATTATGTCACTCTCTTTTTTTAATTTTTAAATTTATTACAATTTATTCACTTTGTATCCCAGCTGTAGCCCCCACCCTCAACCCCTCCCTAACCCTCCCTTTCTTTTCATATGTTTGAAAATCTCTTTAGTAAATTGATAGATATTAAGTTATATAAATAAAAATTATTTATTCTTTAAACAAATTAGGGAGCTCACGGACGTAACTGCTCTAGCCACCTGATTTTGTTGGTCGTTCTCAAGCTCCTTCAAGGGGTAGCATACTCATCCCCCAGCCTTTCTCAGCTGGCCCCAAATTGGAGGATCTTTTATTCCTAGGTCACCCCCAAGCTGGACTATAGCTTGGCTGCTATAGTCCAGACAAGCACCAGTTTTCACTGTCATATAAAACTTATTTTAACTCAGCTAAAAAACTGAGTACAGCATTGACCTTAGGGTTTGCCCTGACGGCATTCAGTGAACTACAAAGAGTTAAGGCTAAAGCAAGTTCCATTCCTTCACATGCTGTCTTGCCCAATTCCTATATGCAAACAGGAAATATGAACTGCTATGAGGCATCTTGCCATTGCAAGCTTCTGGAAGACCCCTGGCCTGGTGTGAACTACAGGACCCCTGCCATGGGCTCCTCCCTATTTAGTGGACCACATTCACTCTGCTGGCATCTCTTCTTTTCAGGATGATGTCACCAAGCAAAGCACCTGTTTGAAGATGGAATTCTCTCAGGGCGGTGACTATGCAGCTTTCCTCCTCCAAGGCAAGGGCGCCCAAAAGCTGTGAGGGAGGTTTGGATTTGTGTCTCTTACAGACTTTCACTGTAGACCTTTCATTTAGAAATAACTTCAGATTTAGACATGTGTGGTGGTACATACCTATAAACCTATCACCAGGGAGGCTCAGGCAGAAGGATCATGAGTATAAGGCTACAGAATGAGACCTTGTCTCAAAAATAAAAAACAAACAAAATAACTTTCAGTATAAAGAACAGCAAGAGCTGGAGAGGTGACTCATGGGTTAGAGCCCTAGCTGCTCTTTCAGAGGGCTGGGGTTTGATCCCAGCACCCACAGTCAGCTCACAATCCTCTGTAACTGCAGCTCCAGGGCATCAGACCACCTCTCCTGGGCACTGCATGCTGGTAATATGCAGATATACATGGGGGCAAAATAGCCATATGTGGAAAATAAATCTTTTAAAAAACAGAAGAGTAGCAAAGCCAGTAGAAAGTTCTTCTGCATTCTCCACTGATCCTCACCTTTAACCTGATGGTGTGGGTGTGGAAACAAAGACAGAAACAGTAATACTGCGTCACCAACTAACCCCTGCTGGCCAGATTTCCCATCACTTCATCCTTTTTTTTTTTTTTCCTTGCTATTTTTTTTCCTTAGGCAAGGATACAATATCACATTGAGTCATATGTCACCCTAGCATACTCCTGTGACAGCTCCTTGGTCATTACTTGGTTTCCATTATCTTGACTTTTTTTTTTTTTTTTTGACTTTTCTTTTCAGGAGAACCAACCAGATAGCCATGCCCTTCACTTCAGTTTGTCTGCCTTTTCCCTCATGGTTCATCCAAGGCTAAGGATTTAGGGGGAAGCTAGCATAGGACAGGCACTGTCTCAAGAACTGTGTGGACCCAGGTTGACCCACTTTTGCTTTTATTAGCCTAGATCACAGGCTCCTTCAGGCTGGCTCTAAAATTCTGTGCTCAAGTAATCCTCCTGCCTCAATCTCCAGAGTTGTCACATCAGGTCTATACTACCATGCCTAGCTTAGTTTTTATTTTTTTTCCTTTCTGTTCCATGTAAGGTACAAGTCACTAAGTCTAGACAATAAGAAAGGTGATTTACGTGTCTCCTGGAGGCAGGAGAATCAAAGACTGTGCTAAAGCGTTTTTGTAATTATTAGACGTTTGGGGGAAGCTACTTTGAGAAGATGCAGACATCTCAGCTCTCCTTAAAGTTTATCCACCTATCTTGGCGCCTGTTGTCCCCTCCTAACAGCTACAGCTATGCCTGTGTCAACAAAACATACTTTATTCAAATGCTTGGTAGTTTGTTTTCCAGCTTGTAAACATTTGGACATATTTTATATGAGCCTGGATCTGCACTTTTTTTTCCTCGAATGTTGGAGGAACATAGAGATTTTATAGTGCTTTTTGTGTCAAAGGACACGTTTGGGGCTGAAGAGATGGCTCAGCAGTTAAAAGCACTGATTACTCTTTCAGAGAACACAGGATTAATTCCCAGCATCAATATGGCAGCTCACAACCATATATAACTCTAGTTCCAAAGGATCTAATATCTTCTGGCCCCTGGAGGCACCAAGCACATACATGATGTACAAATATAAATGCAAGCAAAACACTCATGTAGTCACGTTCTTGGGCTGTTATAACAAAGTACCACAAAGTGGGTAGCTTAAGATGATAGGCATTTATTTCCTTATGGTTCTGGGAACCAGAAGTGTGAAATTACAATGTCCAGATGATTATATTTTAAATGAACCACTGAGGCAGGATCCCATTCCACGGGAAAACAACCTTTCCCAAATGGGTCAGTATTCAGAACAGGAGCCCAGCCTTTTCTTGTGATGAGAGGGTTCCACAGCCTCGCACAGATCATCATCTCAAATGCTGGCCAGAAGACTTCTTTGGGGTCTGTCCCCATTCCAACTTTTCCTTTGCCCTAAGCCTCTCTTGCTATGCTTACATGTGCCACCTTCTTCCCGTAGGTGGTGGCAATGTTAGCTTTAGGGCAGAATGTCAATAAAACCGACTATTTGCAACATAGAAAACACGGGACGTAGCAGATAACAGTTTGATCAAAACTTCAGTTGTGACAGTGTTGTGGGAGAATCCCCTGATGCCATTAGGTAGCAGTGGTCTGAGGGGTCTACTCTCCAGGCAAACATTGCTTGGGAAGTGAGGGCTTGCAATAACCATTGCTTCAGTTCCTGTAAACCTCCCTTCACAGGTACCTACTGCAGAGGTTCTGGGTCTCGGGCCAGCACTTCTGAGAAGACAGACATTGTTAAGCTGAAACTTGCCGCCTGTTAGCAGTTACTCAATGCTTGCTTAAATGGTTTCCCAATGCAGGAGCTGGGGAGATTTGGCTGGAAGTGTATAAGTTGCCCAAGGAGACTTGGCTAAAGGAAGCGGAGCTCCCCCAATTAGGTCCAAGTCAGAAGAAAAAAACCAAACAGGTGCCAATGGTAGGAAACATCTTTTTTTTTTAAATCAATACTTTTCCTCTCTATCCTTTGCCCAAATCTAGCCTAAATTCTCCATGGAACTAGCAAGGCCACTGGAGGTTTGACAGATGGCAACAGAAATGGTGGACTGTCTCCAGTAGGTAAATTATTAGTAAGTAGAGATGTCTTGAGTAGCCAGAAGTTCAGAGCTTCTCTTGACTTAGATTTATCATTCCTGAGACTGCACATAGACATTTCTTGTAGGAGGTTAGTACCTTTTACTCTGATTCCCGCCTCACAGATAACTTTCCCCAGTCATGGTCTGAAATAATTCTTGAATGTTTCACGTTCTACTAAGTTTCCCAGAGTGTGATGTATCCTTTGTTTTTCTTAGTAGGGAGCAACTTAACTATTTTAGTTGGCTTGAGATCTAATTCCTCGGAAAAGATTAAAGCTTATTTTACATATGTATATAACATACATGTATTTGTTTTCACTTTAAAATCACTAATATTGAGCACTCCATTTAAAACATACTGTGTTAATCCAGGCAGTGGTGGTATACGCCTGTAATCACAGCACTCAGGAGGCAGAGGCAGGCGAATCTCAGTGAGTTCAAGGCCATATTGCACACAAAGTAAGTTCTAGGACAGCCAGGGCTACACAGAGAAACCTTGTCTCAAAAATCCAAAAACTAAAACAACAAGAAAAACCATATTGTCTTAGGTGTGATGGAATAGGGAAAGAACTCAGTGGCAGAACACTAGCCTAGCCTGAGCTAGGCATCACACACCCAAACATACCAGGTCAGGTCTAAAAAATAACAAAAATCAAACCAAACCAAACAAAAAACAAAAATCAAAAAACCGTGGTCTTATTAATACGGGGGCAAAGGCTGAGGTGCCCCTCACTGCTGAGCTCACCATAGGATCTCCTCAGTAGGTGACTTCACAGTGCCAAGCCTCCTCTTGCACACTGATGGAATTCGCCAGTCATACATCCCTCCTGTCCCTCTTCACACAGCCTGAGCGTCTGGTTACCCTGATCTGTGTGAATGCCTGATGGCTATTCACTATTTTTCATACACTGAGGATCACTTAGCATGTGACAGTGGTTGATGTCTTACTGTAAATTATATTTAGAGTCACTTAAATGTAAATTGTTAGCATCACTATATTTTCCAAATCAGAAATATTCACTTTAGGAACAAAACACAGGCTAGCTGGCGTGGTGGCTCACCCCTTTAATCCCAGCACTTGGGAGAAAGAGGCAGGTGGATCTCTGTAAGTTCAAAGACAGCCTAGTCTACATAGTGAGTTCCAGCCAGAGCCACATAGTGAGACCCCCAAAGAAGAAAAAAAAGCAACATAACACAATATGTCGGTGTGCAGGAACATCACATGGTGCTCTATACAATTTTAAAAAGAAAAGGAGGGACCTGGAGATCGCTTTGTGGGTAAAGGTACGTGCTAGACAAGGTCCATGCTGAACAACCTGAGTTTAACCCCTGAGACTCACATGGCAAGAGAGAACTGACTCCCACAAGTTGTCCTCTGATCTCAGCAAGCAAACCATGGCACACACAAGGCTCCCTCTCACCGATAAATAAAGGTAAATTAATATAAAATTTATAATTAAATTAAAATTTAATATTTAATTATAACTATAATTTAATATATTAAAAATTAATGAAACTATAATAAAAATTAACATTGATTTTCATAATCAACGTTTGGTGCCCTAACTGTTACACTCGGCTCTACACCCATAACGATAATTAAGCACATCATCATTCTCCAAGCACAGTTTAAGGTCCTGAGGAATGGGGATCAAGTCTTGAAACCCCACAGGCTGGAGGACTGCCCAGATGCCGTTCCTCCATGAATATACTTCCTAAAAGGGGAAGTGGGCCAGGGGGAGAGAAAAAAAAAACATTTCTGAAGATATCAGGGGATCAGCAATATGAATCACACCTTTTGTGAATTCATTTTCCTTTTTCGCCCCCTCAGACTCCTGACGTTGCTGCTTTAGAAGGTGTGGAAATGGTAAGAAACTTTAAAGACAATCTCCAGAGAGACTTAAGTCACATTTGGAAGGTGGTGCTTGAAAGGGAAAAGTGCATTTACTACCAAGTGCGCTGGAAAAGTGTTCTGCTGCCGCTGGCCCCTCCCCCCAGCCTCTCTGTATCTTAATCTAGTACATTACAACTGCTGGAGACAGCCTCAGATCATGTCTTCTGAAGCAGGTTTGTTGTAACGCTAAGGGAACTTAAATTCCAGCCCTGTCACTTACAAAGCCCCTTCAAAGGCCATGGCAGGATCCCATTGATGTAGTTACGTCATTTTTTACTTTTGTAAAATTTGCAAAAATAGTATTATTTAATCACCATCACTTGAGGCTCTAATTTCCCCTTGCTGTAAGTTCCTTCATGTTGAGTGGCATTAGAATGAGTGTGGCATTTTGTGTTCATAACTTTATGGGTATTTGTTTTTTGAGGCAGGGTGTCTGTGTAACCCACACTGGCCTCAAACTAACAGGCTTCCACAGCCTCTCCAGTGCCAGGATTCCAGACACATACTGCCATGCTCTGATTTTGTTCTGCCCTTAAAGAGGACCCTGTGAAGCCAGCTTTGCCCCTGCCACTGTAACAATACAGTCCACCAAGACAGGTGAATTATGGAGTTCATTTCCACCTTGAAATGCTATGGGGAATGGAGCAGACATCCTGTCCTGGGGGACAGGGAACACACCCTTTTCCCAAAGTTCACCAGAGCAGCCCTTTTGTTTTAAGCTACACAAATAACACACGGGGGCATTACTCTATGAAAAGTTAGCTTATTCAGCGAACAGCATGCAGGCACATGCTAAACTTGGGAGGCCTACCTAGGAGGATGAGAGTTCAGGGTTGTTCTTGACTATGGAGCAAGTATGAGGCCAGCCTGAGCTCCATAAAATTCTGTCTCAAAGAAGAAGAAACGTTCTTTAAGACTTAAGCAATAGCGGGAGTGTTCAGGGCTGGGGAGTAAAAAAAGAAGCTAAACAATGGAGGAAAGCTGCTTACTCGCTTACTCCCCCTTGGCTTGCTCAGCTGCCTTTTTTATGCAACTCAGGACCATTTGCCCAGGGATGGCATTACACACAGTGCGCAGGACCCTCTCACATGAGTCATTAATGAAGAAAATGTTCCACACTTGCATCGAGACCAACCAAATGGAGATATTTTCTCAGCTGAAGGTCCCTCTTCCCAGATGATGCCTAGCTTGTGTCAAATTGGCAAAACAGAACAAAAACAAAAACACCTAGCCAACATAGCCTGTTACATAGCCTGTGCTGTACTGTTTGGTAGTGTTCTGCTTGGGGGAAATTCTGTACAGACTGACATTTTCCTTCCCTCCCTCCTTCCCTTTCTCTCTCTCTCTCTCTCTCTCTCTCTCACTCTCTCACTCTCACACACACGAACACCACACACACACACACACACACACACACACACACACACGCACACGCTAATCTAGGTTCGCAGGTATTTTTCAGGTTTAAATATGAGATGTGAGTCTGACTTATTGTTTTTGTGTGGATTTGTCTGTTCAGTCTGTTGTCAGGCTATGCTAGCCTTCCCTGTAAGGTGAGTTGTATCTTTTTTCCCTCTTAGGTGTGAGTAAGTCTTAAGGTCTTACTTAGCAGGAAAAAATTTAAATTATGGTTTCAACTTCTATGCTGTTCAGCTTGTTGTTTTTTAATGTTTTGAGCCAGTTTTAGTGATAGTTCACTTTATTTAGCATTCTACTTTATTAAGGTATGTGTGAATGAGCTGGGCAGTAGTGCCACACACATTTAGTCTCTTGGAAGGCAGAGGCAGGGGGATCTCTGTAAGTTTCAGGCCAGCCTGGTTTACAGAGCAAGTTCCAGGACAGCCAAGAACTACACAGAGAAACCCTGTATCCAAAAAAAAAAAAAAAAAAAAAAAAAAGTTATGTGTGAATGTTTCCTCTATGATATTTTTGTCTATTTCCCTTTCTTCGTCATAATGTTTATTTATTTAATTTCAGGGCCTGAGACGCAGTCTAAGCCCTTACGCAGTCCAGGTAAGTACCTTATCACTGAGCTAGCTCACAGCCCTCTCTTTTTAAAATTGACCTTTTATATATTTAGCTTGCTGGCTTCAGTTTGCTAACATTTTATTGAATTTTTTTCTCAGTGTAACACCTTTAAAGCTTACTGAGTCTTGTTTTATGCCCAAAATGTGGTTTGCATTTCTAAATGTTTGAAAACATGATAAGTTCTATTTGTTTTGACCAAATTATTCAAATCTTCTGCATCCTTTTTACTTTTCTTACTATATCTATATTGTATTTTACTCGCATTTCTCTGTGCTTGATCCTAACATCTTTTGGAAGAGGAGTCTTTAAGACTGTATTTTTGTTCTCTTACTTCTGTGAGTTTTTTGTTTGTGTATTTTGATCTCTCTTAGTTAGTTAGTTAGTTAGTTAGTTAGTTAGTTAGTTAGTTAGTTAGTTAGTTAGT